TTTGAAAACTACAAATAAACGCACTTCCATATTCACCAAGTTTGCGGAAGGTCTACTAAATTTTCTCCGCTGGGCATATATAAATAAATACGACATATGTACATATGTACATATACATACGAGAATGTAAGCACTGATGTACGTGCAAGAGAACATCCAAACCCATAAGTATTGTAAATACTGTGAAGACATGGGGTATTAACTTGCTATTTACTTAGGCTAGACAAAAGATGTAGTAGTTGAGGAAATATTAATTTTTAAGCGTACAATTTAAATTGATTAGAAGAAAAATAAATGGAAAGAATTTGATAACAAAATATCAACCAAAACGTTTAAAGCACCTGTACCTATACAAATACATATACTGCAAGAAGTAAAATAAAAATTAGCAAAAGTATTGGTATTGATATACCATATTGTCTATAAATAATTTCACGCAAAGAAAACAGGGAGAGACAGTAAAGAAAACGCTATACCATAATCCAAAACCACACGACTTTCTTCATAATTTTTACTAAGCCATCATATGGGAACTCATGACGGATTGAGTCAAGTGAAATGGGCACGCGCTAGATACCATGTAAATTAGTTGGGGTCTTTGTGAGGCGCCTTTCGCTTATGACACATTCGCGTGTACGTATGTAGCTAAAGCTGCTGAAATGATGTAGCAAAAAAAGGATGATAACAATAAAATCGTACCCACCACTGACAGCCAAATAAGTGCGATAATAGTAGTTGATAAGACAGCGCACCGTCTACCAAAAATGATATAAATACGACAACAATAAAAATAGCAATATCAATAACAATAATTGCCAAATTTGATAAGCACGCGCATTCCGCTACTGATATGCCACAAAATCGGCCACAAATCAGGCCCAACATGAACGCTGACCATTTGCGCAAATTTCTTAAAATTTGGTTTAGTTCTTTGGCGGTAACGGTTCGTGGCGGATGTGAAACCTACTAAAGAATTCGCTTTTTCGTATTTAAATAATTAAAATATAAAATTTGGTATATGTAAATATGTGTGTTCTTAATATTTAATGCAACAAACGTTAGTAAATTCAAAAAATCAGTTTTACTTAAAAAATAAAACTTATCTGAATTCTCGATAACCTAAGGGCCGTTTTCTCAGATAACATTTATAATTTAGCTACCCTTCAAATACATTTTTCGAGAACAAAATTTGTTTTTAAAGGGCAAATAAAATGTAAAAGCTACTTCAGAAAAATAATAAAATAAAATCTAAAACTATAATTTGGTGAAAATTACCATAAAAGAAAAACATCAACAATATACCAAAAAAGATGACGCAAGGGAGAAAACCCAATAATTGCTAGGAGAAAAGCCACTGATATTGAAGGCCACTTATGACAAATCTGCTCGATTATATACGTAGATCTTTTAGGTCTGCAGTCAGAATGTAAATCTAATCTTTAGCGTCAAATAAATGAACACCTAAAGTTTTCTCTAGGAACAATGACAACCATTCCTTGTAACGTCTCTTAAATTGCATTGGAATCAATTTCCGCCATCCCTTAGCGGCGTTGTGCCATCTTCAGTGTTAGAGTCGTCCCCTTAGCCCTTGAAAGCCGAATTAAGTTGGGTAAGGCGACAACTTTTTTGACGGCATATTATTGTTGGTTTATCCTTAAATATGAACTGGTATAAAATTGGAACCTCTAGCAAAATATGTACATATGTTTGATGTTTTATAACTTTATCCTTGTCTAGCTACGGATTTCATAATATTGTCGTTTTAAGCAACCATCAGATTTTCAAGGCAACAATCTGCCCTGTCAAAACTTCAAAGGTCAGAGAATGCGTTTAGCTAAGCGTTTAACGCCGCCTCCGAACTGCCGATGTTTTTTTTTTTAACTTTCGCACCGAAAAACTATAATCGGAAGCTTGCCATTGCCAGTCGAGGGGTCGCTGCTACTAGAAAAAGCTTCTATGGATGGTGGTTGGAGCAGTAGCCTGAGTCTCAACGACATCCTTTAAGATTACATAAAAAATATGTTAGGGTCCCAGACAAGGGACGCACTTGGTTAATTAGGAGATCGTCCTTTGTGATACCAAAAAAACTGAATAGAGACCAATTATTACGAAATTACGAATACGACTAATTTCAAAGCCTGAGAGCTCCTCCGGGGTTGTCAGAAAGTGCGAGCCAAGGTGTTTCCATCTTATCCTCGCCAAGACTCGGCAGTCTAATAGAAAGTGCTAAGATGATTCCATCTCATCATCGCACAATGGTCTCTAAGAACAGCGTAAGCTGCGCTCGCCCCTGTAAACGAGCCTTATCAGGTCGGTTCCAACCCCCAGCTCATTAGGAAAGTTAACTACTACTGCATAATCTTTATCAGTGAAGGCCTTCTCCATCTACTCTACTAATGGGTGTAGGGCGGTACCCACCGACTGTCCCTTGCAACAAGCACATTGAGCTCTCGGCAGTCACGAGGAATCCCGTTTCTTAGTATGAACGTCAATTGATATCTCCAACGTTTTTAGCAGAAATGAAGACAGACTAATAAGCCTGCAGTCCTTAGGAGCACCGGCCTTCGGGATGAGCGTAACTCTGACGACGAGAAACTATTTGGACTGTGTAACGCTTCCAAACCACAAAAAAAATGGACAAACTCGTAAAAATCAAAAAACAATAGCAAAAATGTGGATTTCTGTATGAAACAAGAATTGCAAAATACAATCACAAAAAAATTAAAACTTACAACGTTAATAAATCAAGCTATAAAAGCGTTAAAAAATCGAGCCAAAGACTATAGTTTACTTATCGGTCAATAACTTGGCAAAAGCAATAGAAAACTCAATGCGTAATAAACCTAAAACACTTTGGCCAAAAGCTATCAAAGTGTTAAAACCAAATAGCCTCTTTATGCGTATACCGCACATGCCATTTTTGTTCTCGGCTTAGTAAAATACGCCAAATTTAATACACATACACTGCAGTGCGAAAGGGAGGAAGAGGAGGCACCCACATTTATTAGGCGCTAAAAATGAATTTCGGACTGAAACTGGCGTTGTTAATACTTGTAATCCACTTCAAATTACACGGACTACACGCGGCGACACTCATCGATCGCTTTAAAACGGCTATCAATGATATCAACAACAACAACAGCGATAACATAAACAGTAGTGCATACAAAAGAAATTATGTAGCGTTCGATAGCAGCTTTAATGAAGTGTATAATAATAGCAACAAAAAAATAATTGATAACATTAGTTCAACGTCAGCTGTAAAAACTATAACAAATACGACCACAAATAAAAATAAAACACATGATTGGCAAATAAACAATAAACATTTGCTGCCATTTCTCACAAACAGTAGCCGAAATGATAATGATTTTGTTGGTGGCACAGCTGATAATGCCAGTTCGTTAATCAATCAGACTGAACCGCTTTATGATAGTGATGGGAAAGTTATCAATGGCAACAGCAGTGCAAACAACTTTCTCAGCATTGATAAAATTTTAAGCGACGATAGCGATACAAAAAATATCAGCCATAGCAGCCATAACAGCCATAACAACAACAGCAGCAGTAAAGACATTGAGGGCTCTAACATCAACGATAAGCTCAATACGTTATGGCAATTTATTTCTACCGATCAACAGCTGAGTAAGCAGTCAACGAATGTTACCAAATCTCTAGAATCATCTCAGTTTAAAAGTGAGGAGGCTCCGGCATACTACCAATACAATTTCACCCAAAATGGCGGGAACCAAGATGCTGCTGCGGGTAAACCTCCGAATAATGTCACAAAGGGTGTCAAAGAAAGTCAACAAACGAACTCGAGCGAGCAGATAATTCCACTTGATTCCGAAGAGCAGCATACTGGCAAAGTAATTGAACCCAAAACTGCAGTGGATGACTCAGTGCCGCTGGAGCAAATTGAATGGGAGCTACAAAGTTTACGCGGTAATTGGAACGATCTTATTAATTCCTATGAAGTAAATAAAATTATGCAGAAATATAGAAGCGAGTTGAATAATTCTTGCATAATGGATAGCATAAAGAGTTCAATTATGTGGTGGGTCTACAGCAATGGTACTCTGAACCATGAATCGTGCAATAATAAAAGTAAGTATTGAAATAAATGCATAAGTGATATGTACTTATTTACATAATTGCGTATTCTTTGGCTTACGATGTATAGTGGCTGGCAAACAAATAGCAGGACGAAATTTTAAACCAGTTTTGGCTAGCTTTCTTTTGTTTATTTAATGTTTCTTATCTTTTTGTGAAAGCATAGCTCACTATCTAACGAAAATCATGCGAGTGCGAATTTTCAAGATTTGTACACAAATTAGGAAAATTTTACAAAATTTTCAATAAAAGTAAAAGCTTTTTAATCAGAATTTTGGTATGCATTAATTTTTAGTATAATAAAGTGCAAATCTGAAGTAGGTAGGACTTACCCTTGATTTTTGTAATTTTTTTTTTGCTGACGGTGTCAAGCATTTTCTTCCATAGAAAGTATGTTAAAAAATTTATTCATATGGAGAAAAATGCAAAACACCGTCGTAAAAAAATGCCAAATAATAAGGTAAGCGCTTGCGACTTCAGATTTGCACTTTGTTTTATTAAAATTTAATTGTCTACAAAAAAAATGGAGAAAGTCATTTCATAAGAAGCAATCCTGTGTTCACCAATCAGCAAACAGGGCATAACCACTTCTCACCAATCACCGACATTTTTCTCTTTTGATTGCCAGTCAAAATTGGTAGCATAACCATGGCCTAAAAAAGAGTTTTGATTCGAAAGCAATTTCGAAATTTCTTTCTTCTTTTTTTGCCGAGCGTAGGTTTCGCCTCGATTTTATCAACCTAACGTAACGTAACTAACTAATTACGTCAACTAACGTAGCTATGTCAGTAAATTTAAAGCTCATCAAAACCCTTTTTTCTTTTTTTTTGTAAGCTGCCACGGTCTAATGTATACTAAAGTTTTATGCCACCTCCGAGATTCAGTTGGATTTCAATGATACACTTTTTATAGCAGAAATTCATGCGAAGATTATTTGGAACAAGGCATCGAAATACGATTATTTTCGGCACAACAAATAAATACCAAATACTACCGGTTGTAATAAAATGTGATAAGCCAAATGAAATAATAAACCGCTTTGAAGAGATGATGTATTTATCACCTACATATACATATACATACATACATACATACATATGCATCTACTTTGAAGTTAGTCTCTTTCTCTAAATGAACTGGCACAACTCGCTTTAGCAAACATTGATGTCCGGTTGCACCAATCAATTATAGAATTTATCACACTATTAAAATTTAAAATAGTTCCCATTCCAATGGTGGTGGATAGTTCTTTAACTTACTTACTTTCTGCCTTGACATTGGTTAATGCAACTTCAATGCCTAAGAAGTGTACTCGTATGTATATTCCCTTTTTCATTCTATAGATATCTCAATAGTGTTGAATACTGCATGGAAAGCGCTGTGAGAAGCACACTTGAATAGTGTAAAGTTTTACACGACGTATGAGTGACATTTTTAATTCATCTTAAAGAGCTGCACAAGTGCATTTGATTACGCCTAAGCAATAAATGAGCAATTGCAGTAGCCACTGTTTGTTATCAGCTAAAAGAGTAGTTATTGAGTATTATTTTGGTTTTGAAGAGCAGGAGGGACACCAACAGCGTTATTTATGTATGCTTCAACCAAGCTCAAAATTAAATCAGACTTTTATATGCAAGGTAAAGGAAATGTTTTTTGATTAATCGACTTTTTCGGGACTTCCAAGATTTTCTTATGATTTTTTCGGGGTCACTCGAGATTTTTTCTGGACTTTTTGGATTTTGTCGGTATTACTCGGTGTTCAAAGTGGGATTTTTTTTCTCGGTTTTTGCCGTTTTGGGCTTTCCGAGTTTTTAAGTTTATTTTTTCGTGACCGTTAGTAATTTTTTGTTATTTGTTCGATACTTTTCCGGACTTTTCCGTAGTTTTGTTTTGGGAGTTTTTCGAGCCACTTCGTAATTTTCTGGAATTGTTTTTCGGACCGTTGGGGATTTTGTGAACTTTTGTACATTTTTAGAGTATTTCCAGATTTTTTTATGAATTTTTGGAGATCTCTTAAGTTTTTCTCTGGACTATTTGGGATTTTTTTCAGTAATATTCGGTATTCACTGGATATTTTATTCGTGACTATTAATTATTTTTCGGATTTTTGGATTGCTTTGAGTTTTATATTTTGAGATACATATGTATTTTCGATACTTCTCATGTGTCATTTATATAACAGTAATAAGTTGATGGCACCTCAAAGCTTAGTCTGACTTACAACCACGATCACCATTGGCTACAGTGCATACCCCCTATTTTTGATTAAAAAAAAATATTTTTTTATATCACTGAGTTATTCATCTTGAAATTTTTTTGAAAGCGTTCGGCATTTTATGAGCTTTTGAGATTTCATGTTAATTTCCAGCATACACGATACATACATACAATACACGATACAAGCAAACGCTATTAGTTTATGTTAAAGAAGTATTAATTTAATTTTGCCCAAACACATACTTTGGTAGTGCGAAATAAGGATTGAAAGTTTTGAAAAATAATCGATTCTCGAATCTTATTTAATCCTTACGATTCTTGGAAGCGAATAATCGACGGCGAGATTCGAATTATTCGATTCTAATCGATTATTTATTTCATTCTTTCTTTCACTTGAAAAATCTACAAAAGCGGCCATCATCCATAGCTATTATAATGAGTAAATTTTCACAATCTCACAATTTCACAATTCTAACAACTGACGCGTATCTAAAGATGTATGAGAAATAAGAGAATCGAGTTATCAGAATAGATTCTCGATCGATACCGAAAATTTATAATCGATTCTCTAAAAGCGATTATTTCGAGAAAAGCTTCGATCGCGAACACAAAAACTAACAACTAAAAAAAACTAAAAAACCTTTTCTGAATTTCAAATGTTTATTAAATATCTTAATAATTGTAGATGGTGAAATCTTTCCAGCGGTCAAAATCTACTTGGATTTCTCTTACAAGCACATTGACGATGACGATACGCTCTACAACAAAACTTTGGAAAATGAAACCCGTATGGGCCACAGTGTTGTTATTTTCTCAGCAGCACACAATAATCTAACACAAGTACCTTTTCGAACACTAACAACCATGAATACAACTTTGAAGTACTTGACGTTGAAAGGTAACTCTTTCTCGTCTTACAACGAGGAGGAACAAAACGAAGGTGAGTTGAGGAATGTTTGTTTTATAAATTTATAATTTAAAAATTTGTTTGCAACTTTAAGGGCCGGTTACTGAATATCTGGTTAACACTAATCTCCGGTTAAACATAGTTATCGACACTACCGACTCCCTGTTATATGCATGGAGTCGAAGACGATAAAGATGTTTAACGGCAGATTAGTGTTAACCAGACATTGAGTAACCGGCCCTAAGGGCCGTTTTCTCATGTAGGGTTTAAAATTCACTTTTCACTTTAAGCACAAATTTTGTTCTGAAGAAAGCTACTTGAGAAAACGGTACTAAGAATTAAAAAACACAACAAACACAGATTGGCTAATAGCTCAGTTATGCATACTTGGCGTTGCATGAGAGTTGTCACATAAGGAATCTGTTAAATGAGCTTTGCATGGAAGCGGTTACCCAACGCATAGCACTTCACATGTAGAAGTCTGTTGGGTAACTGGGCTATAACACCAACACTTACACTTACATAAACACTATTTTCAGCCATCAAACTTCTAAGTCAAACACTGCTACACAATAACAACACGTCAAATGACACTACACAAGTATTTGCTGGTAGCGAGACGAATATAACTGGGCAAAGAACTCTAACATATCAGGATTTTATAAAACGAAAAGAGTTAGAGATGCTTAATAGAAAGGGTAAGCTCTGATACCTCACAGTGGATTTTTAACTCTTTCTCAAACTGTAACGCCATTCAGATTCATTCAGAAAAGCCGTGTTTTTTTTCGATTTCCATTCTAACCTTAAAACTATTTACTTTGAAATGTGTGTAGGTATACAAACAACAGAAAAGGATATTCAATTTATAACGCTTCGTCTCATTTCATTTCACCACGTTTATATCAACTTCGGGTGGTCCGAGATCGAGCCTAGAGGTGGGCGCGGTCTATCGGGACCCGTGGGACCCACGGTGTTGATTTCAAATTGGCCAGGATAGGCGGTATTGGGAAGGTCTTAAAAAATTTGCGGGCTGAACGGGACCAAAATCCTTTCCCGACACTCGATAAATCCGCAAATTCAGAAAGTCTTCCTTAAAAACGATTTATGAAATATGCACTTTTTTGTTTTATTGAGACTAAAACGAACTGCAAAGCAAAACAAAATAATCGTTAGATGCCAGATCTCTCATTATTATTTTTTTATTATTTAAAATTAATTTGAAAGACATGTGAATTTTTCTTAGTGATAGATTTTGGGGCCCCACGGGACCCGCGGTACAATTCTGGAAAACATTGGGATGGGGGGCTTCGGGACTTAAAAATTTAATTTCGGGATGGGCGGATTAAATATTTAGTCCCGTGCCCATCTCCAGTCGAGTCCTCGGTCAGCGGATTTTTTTTTTCATACACTTTTTTCCTTTTTTACTTAATTTTCTTTAAATTATTAGATTTCATGGTCTTTAATAGAAATATAGGTATTTTTACAATTTTATTACATATGTAGAAACTTATTTTATTTAATTTTAATAAGTAAAATATATTTCTTTTATTTCATTAAATTTACGTAAATGTATTTTATTTTTAGCTAAATATTTTTTATTTTTTCTATTTAATTTTCTTTTAGTTATTACGTTTCATTGTCTTAAAAAGAAAAATATATATTTTTTTATTCAACTTAATATGTATTTAGAAACGTATTTTATTTATTTTTTAAGATTTTATTGTTTTGAAAAGAAAAATATATTTTTTGCAATTTTAGTTAAGTTTTAGACATAATATATATTTTCTTTTTTTATTAAACATGTTTTATTTTTTAATTAAATTTTCATCTGGTTTTAGAATTTATTGTTTTAAAGATAAAGATATATTTTCTTTTGTTTAATTTAATTTTTAGAATCTTATTTTATTTTAGCTTTTTGCCTTTTTAAATTATATTTATTTAAATTTTTAGATTTTGTTTAGAAAATAAAATATTTTTTAACAGCATTTCATTTTCGCTATTATTTTCTTCTTTCTTGATTTATTTTTTTTTTTCTAATTTAATTTTTATATTGTGTTGTTTTAAAAGGAAAAATATATCGTCGTTTAAAGCACCAAACCGCGTATCGTCGTTCTGCAAAACCGCGTAACTGACATTTTTTGCCAAAAATTGGATTTGCGCTCTTGGCTCAAGCCTTATCCTTTCGTCCTGAAATATACTAGTCAGAAATTCGATTGCTTTATAAAAAAGAGAACCATTTTGAAACGTGAGTTTTTATACTCTCTAGAAAAGAATTTATGTAATCTCACTTACGCGGTTTTGTACTTTAAACGACGATATACAATTGTGCATGTATTAAAAAATATTTTTATTAATTTTTGCTTTATTTTCATTTTGTTTTCTTTTATTTAAAAGTTTTTATTGCTAAAACTTATTGATAAAAGGTTAACAGCACAGCGCTAAGACCTCCTCGTTAGCAAATCTTTCACTTTGTCTTTCGAAAGACAGTAAAGAGCTTTCCAGATAAAATTGACAATTGTCTTAAGCAGGGATCACACGATTTGTATATTTGTACAGATTTGTGCATTTTCACCGTCACAGAGTGATGTTGTTTGGAAAGTTCTTATTGAACTGAACTCATTTTCGCTAAAAAATTTCTAGACAACACCACTCTGTGACTGTTTTTTCGATCCACCCTAATGTGCATACGTATTGTATAACAAGTATTTAACCACAGAATTAAAAAGAAAAAAACTTAAGTAAATCGTGAACAGCTGCTTAAATAATAATACTTATGTAAACAACAATGAATTTGCCACCGTATTTTGCTAAAGTGCTTTTTATATTTTCAAATTATGTCAGGGTCGAGGCTTAACAGCAGGCGTAGTGTTTATTTTTTCAATACTTTTATCAAGGCGAATTTATATAAGGTGGTGTTACTAGCTCAGCTGATTTTGTGTATGTGTTTCGCCGCACGGCTTCTGATTTCAAATTGAAAAATTTTGTTTGAATTTCTACACACACTCTTACAGATTTTGACAGTTTATGCCGCCAAAGCAAAAACAAAATACATGTACATTTTTGTTTTTGTACTCCTGCTATCACCTTATATTAATTCGCCTTGACTTTTATAATTTCGGAGACTTTTTAGTTGATTGGCGAACATAAATGGCAAGGCGAATTCATACTAAGTGATAGCGGTAGCGCAAAAATAAAAACTATACTAATAAACTATACGCGCAAGAACAATAACAACACGAACAAAGTAACAACAAACACATCATTTTGTACAAGCAGTACAAATTCGCCTTGAAATCAGCAGCTCTGCTTATATAAATTCGTTTTGATAAATGGTTTAAGTTTTTCGTATATCATTACTACCTACTCGAAATGAATATTTGACTAACCTATGCAAAAATAATAAATAA